GGGTTTCTCTGTGTACTTTGAAGCCTGTCCTGGATCTCGCTCTGTAGACCAGGCTGGCCTTGAACTCACAGAGATCCACCTGGCTCTGCCTCCCGGGTGCTGGGATTAAAGGAGTGCACCACCACTACCACCGCCGCCACCCAGCCTACTTCAATGATGTATAGAAAGGAAGGCTGTGATTTAGTGGGCCCAAGGGAGTGCTCCAGATGCAGAATTTCTAGCAAGTTCCCAGGTGATGCTGATTTTGCAACTACAGGCTCACACCAGTAGAAAGGGAGAATGTTAGAGTAAGCATCTTGGGCATGCCCAGTGCAGCGGATGATCTCTGCTTTTAGAGTCTTTTTCTCTAAGGTCATCAAGGAGTTAGAACTCTTATGCCAGCAGCAGCAGCAGCTGCACCCACCAGAAAGCGTATTTCCCTGTCACCACTAGATCACCTCCTCCTCAACTGCAGATCAGATGCCATGCCTGTCACTGTTGACACCTCCTGACTACTGCTGCCAAACCAGTGAGCAATTATCCAAACCGAGAGCTAGGATGCACATACTTGTTTATACCTGCAGAAATGTCTTCAGAACTTAGGAAATGCACTACTAAACATGTGCAGGGGGAGAGGAGAGAGGTGGCTCAGTGGTTAAGAGCGCTGACTGATGTTCTAGAGGACCTGGGTTCAATTCCCAGGCCATGGGGTGTCTGATCATGCCAGAATTTTAAAAAAAAAAAAAAAAAAAAACAAGTACAGGAAAGTACTTTCCTCAACATCTGGCTGTCCTCGGAAGTCATAATAAATGCTACAACCCCATCTCCAAGGCGAGGTGGGTATGGAATGTTGAGGTGGTTCTGGGAGCATCAACACTTCAGACAAGAGTCTTGACTGAAGAGTTTTCTCTCAACCCGCCCCAGCCCACTGTCATCACCGACCTTGAACCTCCAGTCAATTTCTTGGCTTTTGAAAAAAAGATTTATAGCTTGGGCATAGTAGCTGATGCCTTTAATCCCAGCACTCAGGAGGCAGGGGTGGGTGGATCTCTGTGAGTTTGAGGTTAGCCTGGTCTACATAGCAAGTTTCAGGCCAGCCAGAGCTTTGTAGTGAGAGACTGCTTCAAAAACAAAACAGCGATTTATAAGACTTATTTGTATGTGTATTAATGCTTTGCCTGCATATATGTATTTGCAGCACACGAATCTCTGGTGCCCACAGAAGCCAGAAGGCAGCAGTGGATCCCCTGGAACTAGAGTTAGGATGGTTGTGAGCCACCAGAGGGGTGCTGGGAACTGAATTAAGGTCCTCTGCAAGGGCAGCCAGCACTCTTAACCTCTAAGCCATCTTTTCAGGTTAACTTCTTGCATTTTAAGTCCACTAAAGTTTCCATCAGACCCTCTCTCACATCCCAGCCTCTTGTACTCCTTTCTACAAACACACAGTGACAACATGTTATTGTGGGTCTTGCTGAATCACCATTTGAACTCTTCAAGAAGTTTGTCCCAGGTTGCCGAGGTGGACCAGGGGGTGAAAGCACTGGGTACCACATCTGCAGACCTGAGTTCCATCCCTGGGACACAGCAGAGTGAGAAAAGACTCACATGAGTTGTTTGACATCACACGTGTGCACACAAAGTGATTTTCATAATGAAGTGTGCCACCCAGGTGGCTTTTGGTGTTTATAGAAAATTTTGTTTCATCCATTTAACTCTATGGGTGAAAACCCCTTTCCAGGCTCTTTTCTCACCAGATGCTTGATTGGGGGGGGGGCAGCACAACTGAGGTGCTCAGAGGTCACGCCCAAGCCCAGGTTCAGACTTCTGTCACACTTTATTGAAGCGTTCCCCACCTACTGGGAAGTCTCCGTTTCTTCCCGTCTGCCTCACTTCCTGCCCCAGACAAATGTGACCGTGGATGAAACACCTTCCTTCCTTCCTTTACATTACAGAGAAACCTGCTTCTGGCTTCTAACTAGGAAAACGGAAAGGCAGGAACTCGGAAGCCCAACCCCTCTTCGAAGAGCCTTCCTTCCATCCCAGGGAAAGCAATGAATGGGCATGACTAACCATTCAGCATCCTTCCTAAGGGCCCAACCTGTCCCACCTCAGTCACTTACCCCTCCACTTCTAGGTGGCTCTTCCACACGCCCCCGGAAGCTACTGGTGCCCATCTGAGAGATTAAATACAAAACGATTTCCAAAGCTAGCAGACTCATTTTGGCTTGGGAAGTCCCTCTAACATCTGAGTGAGCAGGTTCCATGCGGGCATCTCAGAGGCCCACTCCTTTCCCAGGCCAAGCCTCAAGGTTATGGCCATCAAGAAAAAACAGGTCTTCAGAGAATGAAATGCGTGACACCTACTTTCTTGTCTGCCAAAGATGGGCCATCATGACTAAAGGCACCATAATCAGTAATTTTAAAAACAAATTTCTTACCAAGCAAAACATTCTTTAAGCGTTCCTCTTTAATTTCCAAGAAGCACTCCAGGGTTAGTCTGCACTCTTGTTAACGTCAATGTAGCAGAAACAAACGGTAACTGGGAAAAGGCACACAGAGCCGAGTACTGTTAAAGGATTTATTGCAGGAATACAATAAAAGTTGAGAGGAATCTGTGTGACTTCCCTGATGTGGAAGTCTCAGCTGCAGCGAGGGTTCGGATGCTCAATTCTTTCCAGAGCACCCCGCCTCCTCGCCCAGCGCTGTCCGGACCACGGTGACTTACTGCCTCTCCAGTAAGTCACACAGGTAGCAAGCTTTCCTTGGTTCTCTTCAATTACATAAAAATGTCCTTTATAAGACCATTTAAGCAGCCTACGCGGTACTCTGAGTTTCTATTAGTATTACCTTTTGTCAATAAATCATTTTAAAATGGAAAACATGACCAACTTCTATGGCTTTTGGTTTAAAAAAATACCAGCTCCATTTCTTCAGAAAGCTGTTTACATATGGTTCTTGCACCTACAGGGAAGGTTTTAATAAGCAGCAAAGAGTACGGGGAAACAGTGGTTGAAATGTGTATTTAAGAATATTTACAACAGGTGGATCCAGTGCAAAATAATGAAACTCAAAGGATTTCAGCAGCCTGGGGCAATCATTTCCTGTGACGTAAAGTGACCGAAGTGCCTCTATCTGATACTAAAAACAAAATACCATCAACCCTACACTTCCTGCCTGCTTTGTTAACCGCTGTAGACAGGAGTCCGTGATGTCTGCACTTTCTGAAGCTTCCTCTCAAGCTCATGGTTTCTTTTTCACCTGGTATCTGTTCATTCTACCAGACTCAGTCTGCAAATTCTAGAAGTCGATGGCAAAATGCAAGCCCAACAATTATGAAGCTGAGCAAGACAGACTTCAGTCAAATGAAGGCCTGCAAGAGGGAAGCCGTCTCCTCCCCAGGTGGAGATCTAGAGCTGGAGACCATGGGGCTCCTGGTAGGGATCCAATCCTTTTTACAAGTCTACCAACAGCAAGAGCTCTGTAGCACCTAAGTCTGCAAAGTATCAACCATACCGGTGAGCAGAAGCTAGGGGGCAGCGAACCGCTGAAGGACTTGCCTGAGGTACACACCATCGCCCCAGGCACTGTACGGCACTGCCGCCCCCACCTCGGAGGGCGCTTTTCACAGGACTTCTGTGGTCTGTTACATAGGCCTTCTTTCTTTTTCGAAGTTATTAAAAATAAGAAAGAACTACTTACAAATTTGAACATAATGCCTCTCGTTAGAGTTTTCTGTAAGATTGTCATGAAAATGGTCTCTTGGAGGAAATTCCTTGAGCACTTCCTGGGACTGCTGCACGGTGCTCCACACTGCACAAGGTGCTGCCTCCAGAGCCAAGGAGACACCAGGAACAAGCAGGAGGCGTTTCCCCGGAACACCTCCCCACCAAGAAACTGGACAGCAAGAGAATGAGCACTTCATCAAGTGTTCAAACTGTGCCCAGGCAGCATTTAGCTCACACAGGGAATGATAAAGGGAAAAGTACCACTTTAAAGTGAGTCTAGTACAGAGAACTCCAATGACTTACACAAGAATGAACTCATTTCCCCTCCGAATACAAGGAAACTGTCTGGACATCTCCAAGCATCACAGCTAGGACTCCCCCGTCCGTCATGTGGGTCTGTGGACTAAAGACCGCGGTTTCTTTGGTGTGTGGTAGAAAATCAGGAATGTGATGCATGATGACGACGACGACGATAGCAAAAAGCTTTCACCACCTCCCCTCCCGAGACGACTGTCTCCCCCGTAAGACCAAAGCTGTGGCTGGCAAGTCTCTCAAAAAGATGACAGACAAAACAAACTCAGCTTTTGTCTTCCATTCCTTACCACCAAGAAACACTTCCTTGTGATCTCACAAAGTCTAGAACTTAGTGTCGGGAAGACTCGGCATCCCAGGAACCAGCACACTGTGGGGTCGAGGGGGCTCAGACCAGGGGCCAGGAGGCCACAGGCTCAGGGCTGGCAGAGGTCCTGAGCACGTCAATCACCATCACAGGCCCCCTGACAGGCAGGCACACGTGCTTGTCCTAATGCTAGGTTAGCCCCTCTGATAACTACATAGACAAGGTTGTTCGAGTGCAGTGGGAAAGATTTCACACGTCCTGGTCTACACTCACTAGCGGTGTCCAGTATATGCTTTGAACCAGGAGGTCACCGAGGCCGCGGCGGACGAGATCATCCCACCAGCACTGCTGCTGGCTATGGGTGGAGATGCCTGGGTGCTCTGGCTCTGGGAAACTTCCACTGGCTGGGAAGGGATGTCACAGAATCGGGGGCTCGGCAGGTTCTCCCAGTCTGTGCCCAGGTCAGTCTCCTCATCGCTTACACGCTCATCTCCACTCACATCTGATTCTCCAGCAACTCCAGGGTCCACAAATTCCATGGACTCCTCAAGGTCTGCTCGCACTTCAAAGGGTCCTGACCTGTGTGGACATAGACGGGCTGTATAAGCACAATCTCCCATCCCAAGATCATCTGAGTTGGGCGTGACGGGGCATGGGAGAGGAAAGCGACTCACCCTGCTGCATTTCTTTGTTCTGTGTGTGTGAGAGACAGAAGTGAGCATTCATGTGGAAGCCGCAATACAACTTTCAGGAGTGATTCTCTCCTCCTGCTTTTCTTTTAGAACTTGTGTATACTAGGAAAGCTGGTCCACAGCTTCTAGGCGATTCTTCTGTCAGCCTCCCATCTCAGACTACAGATGTGTGCTACTTCACCCAGCTGCCTTTCTCCGTGGGTTTCAGGGACTGAACTTGGGTCTCATTGCTTGTACAGCAAACACTGGAACCCACTGGACTGAGCCACCCCCCAGCCCATGTTTTTACTCTTGATGGCGGATTTTTTTTTTTTTTTTAACATAACACATTTCTTCCAGGCAAGCAATTTGAATCCTTTATCTTTCTACTAGGTTGCTTTTCCCTTACTGACTGAAAGACAGACCTACTCTAGATTTGGATTTGCTCTCTATTATAGATGTTGCAAATGTTTATTGTTTGTCTCTTTGTTTAAGATATAGGCCTTACTAGAGTCAGTTAGCTCCCACATAGTAATGTGTGGGGCTCCCTTCACTTACTGAGTTTTGAGGTACGGCTTGGTTAAAATTTCACTCACTACCCTATGAGTATAGACTAGTCTTTTCTCTTAGGTCTCTTATACATCATTTAAAAACAGGACCTTTTATTTCTGGAACTTGTTTTTATATATAGAATATGATAGAAAACCAACTTTTTCCTCATTTAATGCCAACTAGCCCAACACTACTGACTATGATCATCTAATTCAGCAGGCTGCTGAAACACAGTCCTGCAGGTCTATGATCTGCCTCATGACTCATTCTCTTTTCTAATTCCCATGCATACTATTTATATGCTAACAGCAGCTTTCTTAATTGGGGGGGGTAGTATCTGAGACAAGATCTTACTATGTAGCCCCAAGCTGGCCTCAAAGTCACAGGCCTTCTGCCTCAGTTTCCCAAATACTGAAATTAAACAAACTTTTTTGTTTTGTTTTTGTTTTTGTTTTTGAGACAGGGTTTCTCTGTATAGCTTTGTGTCTTTCCTGGATCTCACTCTGTAGTCCAGGCTGGCCTTGAACTCAGAGATCTGCCTACCTCTGCCTCCTGAGTGCTGGGATTAAAGGTTAAATAAACTTTTTTTTATTTTTTGTTTATATTACTGGGGGTGGGCATGCCATAGCAAGCATGTGGAAGTCACAGCACAATTTGTGGGAGTCATTTCTTTCCTTCCACCATGTGGGGCAGGGAAATCCAAATCAGGTTAAGTCCTTTATCCCTTTACCTACTGAGCTATCTCACTGCCCGCCCCTGCCCCTCCCAAAAAAGCCACATTTTTAAAAATTAACTTCATGTGCCCTGTTTGGAAAGGGCCAGCCCTTGTTATTCTTACTTTGCCCCGGCTGCCAATGCTCCAGCAGGGTGAACTTTGGAGTCAGTTTGTCAAAACTCTGAAATGCCTGCTGGAATTCTCCACCAGGCCTCCTTTGGGGAAGAAATGGCACATCCTTAGCTGAGAAAGGGATGAAGGAGTTCACTGCCTCAGACCTGCTTCCTACAGACTACTCCTTAGCCAAGAGGCCACTCAAGAAATGTGTGTCGGGCTGGAGAGATGGCTCAGCCGTTAAAGGCTAGGCTCACAACCAAAAATATAAGAGTTCAGTTCCCAGCACCCACAGCTATCTCTCCTGTCTCTCCAGCCACCAAAAAAAAAAAAAAAAATGTGTGTCAAATAAAACCTGACTGTTTTCTTTCCACAGATGCTCCCCAACTTGAAAGCTGAAAATATTTAATAAGTCAAAAATGCAAATAACTTTTAACTATGCACATGCTAGGCTCATGCATACACTTGCCCCTTTTGAGTTGCTCAGGCTTGCCTCAATTTGTGGTCCTCTTGCCTCAGCTCCTGAGTAGCTGTATCCAGGCATTTGCCACCTCAGTCAGCTCAAACACTCTGATACACCATAGTAACAAACACCAACATTTAGTGTGGTCTAACTTTAACACACTCAGAGTGCTTACATTAGCCTACAGTTGAGCAAAATCACCTAGCAAAAGCCCCTTTTCCAAGGTATAGACACATCAGCTCTATCCCAGCTCTACAAAAACATGCACATTCTCATGAGAGTAAAGACAATGGGTAAGAGCCTAGAGCAGGTTACAGAAGATGAGCCTCGAGAAGTTCATGCTCTTTTGGGCTGGGTGCCTGAAAGTTATCTAGAGACCATGGGGGAGAGGGGTGTTCACTGTTACTGATTTCTGTCTTTAAGCAGATGAACTTCAAGGCAGCTCACTCTACGGACTTCCAATACTTGTAACAAACAGTGATCACACTGACCGGGTGAGGACACAGCATCCGCAAGCACAAAGGAAAACACACAAGAGACCACACAGCTGCCAGAGGCGAGTTAGAAAAGAAACACACGAGCTTCAAGAGAAGCACAAGGTGGTGGCCAGGGCATCTGAGCCCCTCTACTACATGTCACATGCTAAATGTACTCTACCGCAAGTTTCTCCAGGAGATGGTTGAAAAAGGAGAGCACAAGGACTCGTGATCAGCTGTTTCTTCTGCACAATACTGTACAACTTCTGTCCTTGCCGGAGAATTCAGGACTCGGGGAACACCAGATACTAGGCCAGTGTGCATCCTGGTTCTACTTAAAAGCAGCCACTGAAAAACAATGCTCAGAGAAAAGTCGCACATACAACTTACCTGCCTAGGTGCTCGGAGTGTGGGCTGACCAGATGCATTAAGTTCCTGAGGGTATGCAGTGGTTGTAACTGATCCAAATTCACATGCTAGAAAAAGCAAAGGCTTGATTAGTACTTTCAACACACAGCGACTTCAAAATGAGTTCAAAGCCCAGGGCTTGTACCTGAGAGGAACAAAGGTAGAGGATGTTTGCATTCAGTCTCTTCACTGCACGAGTCAGTTTCTGTTTGCTGAGGTTTTCTCCACAGAACTCACTGTAAATAAGACAAGGATACGACTTCTAAGATTGGTCTCC